CTCTCTCTCTCTCTCTCTCTCTCTCTCTCTCTCTCTCTCTCTCTCTCTCTCTCTCTCTCTGGTATGCTAACGAGCATTACCGTGAGCTAAGCTCGCATTAGCCCCATCCACTCTCTGAACTTCCTCCTTAGCGCGAGAATCGCCCTGAACATAGGATTCGTGAAAATCTAACAAAAAAAATAGTTTGGTTTACACGAAAGATTTTAAAGATTTTGATAGTACATTTTTCAGACCTTTTACATGAACAAAATTCTATGTGATGTAAATAAACCGCAAAAAAATAAAAAAAAAATATTTTTTCAGAACCACCAAAAGTGGTGAGGAAAGAAGCAAGTTTTTTTACAAAAAATCACTACATTGCAAAACCTCGTTTGTTCAGGAACCGAAATATCCCAATTCTTTGTTTATCTAAAAGGAATCATATTTATAGTTCTATAAGGTATGTAGCACGATGAAACTATTAGAAGGTTTTCAAACATGCACACATGTTCTCCTGTTCACAAATACTTTTGCTTGAATAGCCGGTGTTGGACTTCTTCTGCGGCGGCTGCTTCTAGATCCCTCGGCGGTGGCGACGCCATCTCTCAAAACTCCTCTTGCGGTGGCCCCGGGTTGTGCGATGGATCGTCGTGCATCAGCCGCGCGTCTGGCTCGTCTGAATCCTGCACTGGGCGCTTCCCTTCTTCCTTCTCCCGTCGCCTTTGCGTCGCTGCTTCATGTTCCTCCTCACTCCGTCCGCCGGAACTGCCTGATTCGTCCGATCCACTCTCTTCCGACCCGGTTTCCTCAGATTCGGGATAATCTGGGTCGTCCGATCTTACCTCCGAGTCTTCTTCTTCGTTCGCGTCTTCCCTCTCTTCCTCCTCTTCGTCTTCCTCTTCCTCTGCCCCCACCTGGGCCACCTCCACTTTTCGGATGATCGGATCCCGCAGAGTGATATCGGTCACATCGATGACCAAATAGTCGCCCAACGAAGGGAGGTAGATGTTATCGCCGTCCAGCTCCGTGCACATGGAGTTGTGGACCACAGTAACTGTAATGCCAGGCTGCCAACGTACGAGGGAGCGCTGCTGGTGCGGATCGCTCGTCATAGCGTGAAACGTTCTCCAGAGGCAGATCGTCTAGGAGTTGGGCCAGGAACACCAAAACTTGCTCGTAATTGGCACGAGATGTCTGTCCCGCACTTTCCCGAAAAGTATCCCTTGCAGTTCTCCCTCCGTGTTCGTCCTCCAGCCTTAGACGATCAGCAGCTCCACCTCATCATTGGGAACTTCGTCCTCCTCGTCTTTATCTGCCGGCTCGGCCCAATGAAACACCAACTCGAGAAGGCAAAAGTTGAGTGCGACGTACATGTGTCACCACTCCGCCCACTTGCTCGCGTCCAAAATTGGCACATCCAGCCGCTTGATTCGAAAGGAGAGTGGAGGGTCCGTAGCGGACTGCCAGAAGGTAGGGAGATCAAGAGGAAGCTCAAAGGTCGAAAGGCGGTTCCGGTTCATTGAGGTGGCATGAAAGGAAGAAGTTGCAAGAGGACGATCTCCGACGCGTCAAGAGAGATCTGGAGTTGGCTGAGATCGATGTCGTTCGTGGAGTTGATCCAATGGCCCGGTAGGGCTAACAGCTGGACCCACGCGACCGTGAGATCCTGCGCCCAGAGTCGCAACTGTCGAAAGACGTCTGTATGAGCTACCGGATGCAAAGCCGTAAGATCGTCGTTGAAGGAGACGATCACTGTCATGTGACTAACACCTGGTGGAGACCGTCGCAGGAAAGCCGACGCCTCGGCCAATACTCTCGCCCCCTCGCTAGTTCGTGTGAACCGAAATTCCGCCGCCGCGTGGATGGCCGCCATACTGAAGAAAGTCGTGAATCGGAGCATATCTAGACTTAATCGTGGTCGTTTCACCTGCCGAATCGATGAAATTTGCCCCCCGGGTCTCATTAGTCATTCCCTGATGACCTGCTCGGTAAAAAAGTTCATGGCGATGGGGGAGAAGGTGTAGATGATGGCTAAGAGGAAAGAAAATCAGAATATTCGAGCTCGAGATCATTGTCCTCCTCCGCAGAATCGAAGGATGGCGTGGACGATGGGGGAGAAGGAGAAGGAGATTCAAGGAGGTATGGGACGAAGACAGGACACATATCAAAATTACGTAAGGGCCAACCGTCGGGGATCAATCAATTAGACCCATCAAAAGACAGAGAAGGGGAGGGAAGGAAGACAACCACTCATCAACACCCGAGGAGAGAAGATGAAAACATACATGTCAACAGAAAAGCGCAAATGACAAGTCCGAAAACTGATCCCGGAAACAAAAAGAGGGGCGACTCGCGCTGATTACCAAAGTTGCTCAGAAGGAAAGAAGAAGAATCAAAATGGCTTAGAGGGATAGAAGAAGAAACTCATTGCACACTTCCCATCTCTCTCTCTCTCTCTCTCTCTCTCTCTCTCTCTCTCTCTCTCTCTCTCTCTCTCTCTCTCTCTCTCTCTCTCTCTCTCTCTCTCTTTCTCTCTCTCTCTCATCACCCCGATGCGAGCAGTCTGTCGCCACGCACCTACACAGAGTTGTCACCCCGCTTAGTCCGAGCATGCCATCTGGGTTCACCCATGTGCCACAGTCCGTCGCGGCCCCACGTCAACCTCGCATGCCTAGCACCAGCTCGTCGGATTGCCCAACTCCCTACTCACCTTCCAAATCTCGCTCGTTAGCGGATCCTCTTGACCTCGCTAACCTCCAGAAGTCTTAGAGAGCGGGTTAATCACGCTTACGAAATTTATAGCATGCATGCATGTGCGCGCGATACCCGGGATTGTGTCTGAGTACAGGGAATAAGGAGGGAGGAAGTGCCTACGACTGCATGGCCAGACCGCCGTGTGGGGGACGTAGCCTCACTCCACACCTCGATCCAGTGATGCATGCGTTCAGGCCAAAAGGACAGAGGAAGAGGTATGCGCGTGCAAGGGCGCCACAAAAGATATCAAGAACGAGAGGATTACAGTTGCAATCACGCCCGCAAAACAAAGATTACAGTTACACACGAGATTAAGGCGCGGAAAAGTCAGAACACAGTTCCTGACGCGGCTGAGCGTGCGCAAGCAGGAATTGAGATGCGCCCAAATTCCTAGTCTAAATCTTAATTGCAAAAAAAAAATCCGAACGAAACAAATTCCGAAAGCCCGCGGGGGCTCGACATCAGTTGAAAATTCACAAAGATTTCCCCGCGCGACAATCGTGCCAAAATTCCCGTTTCCCACAGCAGAACAAGAAAGAAGTTGTGACAACCGTTATTCGTCGCGCTCGCTGAGGCGCGATCAACTATCAACCGTCGTGGGACCAGACCAGCCTTCAATCAAAAGAGACAAGAAAAAAGCAGGGGCATTCATGCAATCTGCCAGGCCATTCCGACTCAACCAATTTCMCCYCCCCGGCCCCCCCCCCCCACCCCCCTTGCGCAGAAAGCCACGCGGTTGAAAAGACCAGCTTCTCAATGGGGAACCTACAGTAGGGGTTTGTCTTAAACCACCAGAAGTTGGCCCAGCTATCGGCCGCGGGCCTTCCCCGTTAACGCGCCGACACCTTCGGGGGTTGGCCAAGGGAAGGCCCGGTCGCTGCTTGAAGGTCGGGCCCCGCTTCTTTCGGTACGACACCCCAGCCCCACAAGAACAAAGAAAGAAGAAAAAAAAAATGAGACACACACACACAAAAAAAAAAAAAAAAAGAAAGGTAAAAAACAAATTCGGGTGCGCGTGCGCGTGCGCGCGCGCGCGAGAGAGAGAGAGAGAGAGATCAGCAACGGGAATGCATCTTCCCACGAAAGCGGGAAGATTCATTCCCATTTTCGTTTTTCGAAACCAGAGAGAGAGAGAGAGAGAGAGAGAGAGA